TTGAAAATTAACTCAAAGCTTTATACATACATATTTTCTAGGAAAAGTTGTTTAGAAATGTACAATTAAGCATTTTATGATATATCTTATGGTTGTATGGGTGCATGCATTTGCACCCTTATGCTGCGTTCTCACCAGAGGTGGAACGCGCGGATAAATTGCGCTATTTGCGCGTAAATAGCCGCGTGAACATTTGAGTTTACTCACTTAATTTGAGCGTCAAACCCCGCTTCATTCGCGCGTCAAATCCGCTTCATTCGCGCTTCAAATTCACTTCAGAACAGACGTGGATTCGCGTGATGGGCAGGGCTTCATATCGCGCCGCAGGATGTCTATTCGTGCGTTTGCATTGACTTAACATGTAAATATCTCGTGCTTGACGCGCATTCCGCATCTGGTGTGAATGCAGCATAAGGCATGGTATTGTGCATGTATTCCAAATGAGCTGTTATTTTCATAATCATTTAACCAGCCAATTTTTTATTTTATCATTCGATTAATCGAATTTGAAAGATTAATTAAAGGACATCATTCTTTTTCATCTTTTTCATTTTGAGTATGATGTCAGTTACATTGTTTACTTTCCTCCATCACTAATGTAAATTTCAAATTCAAGTTCCATAGGACTATTGTAAAACATTTACAATAATCTTAGCTTTAATCCACAACTGGGAAACAGTAATCGGCACATGCCGTGTAGTGGGACGAGATTGAAGATGCACATTTTGCCAAAATGTTTCTTACCTGTAATTTTCCAAGATTTGGCAACTGCTATAAATTACGCTCAGTGGCATTATTCATTTCTAATAAATGAACATGCATCTGAAAACTTGTTTGTTACAGCTTAATAAATATGACTGACACTTTTACGATCAAAAACTTGTGCTCTCCAACACCTGCACATCACATTAACAACTCACATTTGCCACAAACATGCATACTAAAACAGCATACTACACATGCGCAGTAGAAAAGTAACTAAAGTATATGATATACAATTAAACATGAGTTATATAACACAAGAAATTATGATAATTACTTTGAACAATAAACTATAAAATATGGATCTTACCTGTACCAACATTGAAGTGATATGTGACATAAAACCTGAAATATGTACTGTTTAATGCCGTGGTTCCTAACTTTAGTCCCAAGCACCCTCTATCCTGTAAATTTTATATTTTTAAAACACCAGATTTAAATATTCAGCATATTAGCAGAGAGATCCATGAGAAAAACTGTACACCTTTGTGTATTTTTTCTTTTGTAGCATTTCAATATCTCTGATGAACTTTTGTATAGATCAGGTGTGGCCAACCCTGTTCCTGGAGAGCCACCTTCCTGCAGATTTCAGTTGCTGCCCATATCAAACACACCTGAACCAATTAATTAGTACCTGAACACCACGTGATAATTACAGGCAGGTGTGTTTGATATGGGTTGCAACTGAAATCTGCAGGATGGTGGCTCTCCAGGAACAGGGTTGGCCACCCCTGGTATAGATACTAATAAGTAAATAGTAAACTAATGATAAATATTGTGTATCAAATAGAATGTAAGAAATAAGGACTTCTTTTAGAGGGCACATAATTTACCCCTTTTACAAGATATAAAATATACCTATAGTGTTTCCAGAATATGGAGGTTAGGGTAGAAGTGCACCGGCAAAGACCAGGCGAAGAAAAAGACTCTATGCCTACGCGTACTCACTGTGCGCCCCTGGGAAGAGGGGGACGGGGGCTGTGAAAATTACCCTTTTATCAGCCTGCAAGTCCCATCCCTCTAGGCAGTCAATCAATTAGAATGGGGGACAAGCCATTTCTGACCCCACCGCCAAAGCAACCATGCATTGCACTCCGTAGAATGGTAGCGAGCCCAGTCTGAATTTATAAACTCCTCCAGAAACTATACCTGGATGATAGAGCTTTCAGCGGTGCTTCATACTGAGCCAAGCCCAGTTTGATGAACTGTTGTCTGGTGTCACCAGGAGGATTTTCCCCAGGACACCAACAACAGGCGCTCCGTCATAATCACGCCCCTACAAGAGAAAGCTCCTGATTAGTTAATGTGACGCAAATGTCTGCTGAAGTTCATATTTTCCAACTCGAGCGATTCATGCTAATCGCGTCATTTGCGCCGCCTTATGCACACGTATTGTGCCACAGGATGATTATTTGGATCTTTGCATTGACATAACATGTAAATCACTCGCACTTGATGCTTCTTTCGTGTCTGGTGTGAGCACAGCATAAGGCTTCTCCACACCATAACTCTCTCGGATGTGGGAAAGACATTGAAGGTGAACTCATCTATACATTTCACATTTTCCACAGCTCAAGATTCAGTGCTGGCACTATTAAAACCTGCATTTTTTAATTTCCTTAAACCTCTCTATTGAAATAGAGCCCAGTTGTTTTAAGGGGTGGTCCACTACGATATCCTTTTTTAAACTTTAGTTGATGTGTAATGTAGCTGTGTGAACATAAACAACATCTCTAAATGTAAAAAGCTCAAAGTTCAATGCAAAGGGAGACCATGGTTTTTACAGTTAGCTTAGCAAAGCCTACAATGAACAAATTTTGGGGACTACAAAAAATACTTCTGGCCCTTGTGAGACCACAAAGGTTCAGTTACCACACACACACACTGCGCAGCTGAGGGCCGTGGCCAGAGGTGCTGTAACGTTATAGCAGAGATGGAGCTAAAAATGCATCCAAACCCTGCTATTTCCACAGAGTTTCATCTGTTTCTGTATTTGGGTTTTCAAAGGACACGACACAATGACAGAAGTGCTTACAGTTCAATATTAATTATGTTCCAGAGAATTTAAAAATACATAGCAAGCATGATTTGACAAAACAGCTCCAGAATCTCTCCCTGTTCAGTGCTGGATTTGGTTAAAATCTCCTCAAAGCAGAAGCTGTGAACTATAACCTGAACCTGTTTTTATTTGTTAAAATTGATCATGATATGTACAGTGTCTAGCGTTAACAGTATGTTGTAGCAATGATGTAAACAATGGGTAATGCTGTTTTGCACTGCAAACGATTTAGCTACAAATTCATATTTATCAGTCAAACAGCTGTAAACACCCACACACATACACTTCAACAGCACATGCAGTGTCTCTCTATGTGTGTGCGCGACTTTCCATTGATTCTCTTTAGGAAGCTTTTCCATGCGGTTTACATCTCACATAATGACGATATGTGATCATTCATAATGAAGTGATGTGCATATAAGTGTACTATGAGTGTGCTGTGAGCAAAGTAACAGGTCAAGAAAATTTATTTTCTTTTGATTAAAAACATTTAATTTTGTAACAAATGTAGTGATCAGCAGTAAAATCAGGAAATTAATTTCCTATATGATCAAATGCTGCAGCCAGTTGAAGTGTAATTTTAACTCTGCCACTTTTATTTAAGCTTATCAGTTAAGAGTGGCAGTGGAGACAGCAAATAACCATCTGTCCTTTGTTCTTCTGAAGAAAAAAAATGTGTTAAGCCACAACTTTCAGAAAGGGTTTTTGATATAATCAATATTCTCTCAGACAGAGAGGCACACTAAGACCATGGATTACAATTATCTCACAAAGTGGACACAAAATTGGATATTTTACTTTATATATGTCCCATGCTCTGCACTGTTATTGAGAACCCCTACAGAGAACCCATGTAGTTGGGTTACACACATTTAACCCCGGAGTAGCGAAACTATCAATTACAAAATCACCTCTGTCTTCATTGTGGCCAGGCAGGCCATTTGAAATCTATGTGTTAATCCATTTGACTATAAAATACAAAGAAGAAATAATTACAATTACTGCATTAATAGACTCAGGAGCTACAGAAAATTTTATAGCCTGGAAATTCACAGTGTCACAATCTTTCTCTCAGCCCCTGTGATTTCCTTCTTGCAGTGAGGCGCTAGAGATCGCCCTGAAGGAGAAGGCAGAATATTCATGTAAGATGCACTGCCTAGAATCTCTGCTCAAAATTCCTGTTCAAACTCTTTCAGTAGTACCTACTCAATATGATGATTTTTGTGCCGTCAGAATACAACGATCTCACTGAGGCTTTCAGTAAACAGATAGCTACACAACTACCTCTACATTGCCCCAGTCACTGTGCTATTAATTTTTCCCCCGGCTCAGTTCCCCCAAAGGAGCACATTTTTCCTCTCTCTCAACCCAAATGGAAGACAATAAATGAATATATAGAGGAATAATTGGCTAAGGGCTTTATCCAACCTTCTACTTCCTCAGCATCCATTGGATTTTTCTTTTATGTTATCGAGAACTGAACGAAGCGACCACTAAATTTTGTTACCCCTTACCTGTTATGTTGCCCTCTGTCCTGGAACAGTTAAGACTAGTTAAATACTATACCAAACTCGACTTACATAGTGCATATAATCTAGTTCGGATTCGTGAGGGAGATGAATGGAAAACAGCTTTCTCTACCACTAGGAGGCACTATGAGTACACAGTAATGCCCTTCGTCCTGACAAACTGTCCTTCTGTGTTTCAATCTTTCATGAATGATATGTTGGATTGGTGGATCATCATTTACATCAATGACATTCCCATCTATTCCAACACTTTAGAGGAACACATTGAGCATATGTACAACTGGTTCTTTAATGACTGATTAAACATAGATTGTATGCCAAAGCTGAGAAGTGTGAGTTCCATCAAACCCAAATCTCTTTTCTGGGTTAGGACATCAGTGCTGACAGAACTGCTATGAGTTTTACCATAATAAAAACAGTGCTACAATGGCCCTTATTGAATACACAGAAAAATTTACAGCATTTCTTAGGCTTTTAAAATTTCTATCACTGTTTCATCAAAGGTTTAGCTTCGTTGCAGCTCCATTAACTGCTATGACCAAATTAGATACTTCCAAGCTATCATGGTCCCCCGAAACTAAACACTTTCTCCAAACTCAAAGTGAGGTTCACAACAGCATCTATTCTCTGCCATCCTAATCCAGACTTACCATTTATAGTTGAAGTCGATGCATCCAGCACGGGGGTCAGAGCTGTACAATCACAATGTCAAGGCAATCCATTCAAAATGTATCCATGCGCATTCTTCTCACATAAGAAATGATGGTGTGGGAAACCTGTTGTGGAAAAAAAAGATTCTGGTCTGCAAAAATATTCTAAGTCTCTAAGTCAAACTTTTCAAAAGTCTGAGATCTCCGAAGTCTTTAGACGAAGCAGTTTATTGTTACAGCATCAGTATCAACAGAGACAGGTCGTTCAAGTGTCCGCCGAACATAAGCTTGCACACAGTTTAAATACATTTCTGTGTCTTAATGCTCCACCCAAATCTACACATTACACACCTCCATCAGCTTCTCCGCTGATAGGATCTTAAATCTCTCAGGTGCCCGCCACCAATAGAATCTCAGGGTCTTTCAGGTGTCTTACCCATGTCCAATTAAGGTCTTTCCTTCCTGTTTCAAAAGTGATGATTCATCCAAAAAACAATGCTCGACAATATATCTTGTTCACTGTCTGCTGAGCTGTCAACTGTAAGTTCAGCTGAAGTTCATAAGTGGTCATACATTTTTGATGTCAGTACAAATGAGTGTGGGCGCATGTGCAGGTGCACTTTATCATGAGTTACAGAACAGAACGCAGGTTTCCTTTTGGCCTTGCTTCCATAAATCAACCCTCATTGTGACATTAATGCTGCTCTTCTAATTTATCTTCTTATCTCTGACTGCATTTGCACAGAATTACTTTTTTTATTAACCAAAGCACACATACCTCATAATAATGCCACAGGTATGGGTAATAATACAATAAATAATAATAATAATATAATATGGATATCACTCAAATAAGCATATAAATGAGAGTAATACATTCATCAGAAATTCATCAAGACACAATGAATTCCCCAACAAATCCCCCCTTAGAGGGACTCTTATCAGAAGAAAGTCCCTCTCCTAACCCTCAACCGGATTGCAGCATAAGGTACCAACATATCAGTCCAATCAACCTCACTAATGCAACAAAAAGTTGCCCTTCACAGTCTTTACCAAATGTCAGAATCATTATGTTGCACTCCAGTGGAGAGGCGGAACCAAACATCTCCCTCCTCATTTGACTAGAAGGGAGTAAAAGATCCCGCCCCCCCTTATCTAATAATCAATCCGGGGGAATACAAACCACATTTAATACAAACAATACAGACAATACAAATGATAAATAAAGCACATAAATGAATGCGTTTGTTGAGTTCAGCCTTGCAGTAAGAATAAAATATACGTTTCATACTTGATTAAATCCAAAAGAAGATATATGTAAAAAGAAATGAACCCCTTAGTATAAAATAACATTCACGGCGCCTCCTAAAAGGAACACGAGTTTGAGGTAATAGGTCCCACGTTGCCAGAGGTACTACTGAGTACTGTCGGGTGTTGGAGCAAGCAGCGGGCTTTTAAGCCACCAGTAGAGCCTACTCTTGCAGCATCCGCCAGCTTTGAGATGATCGTTAGTTCCACAACTTCCATAAAGCACTCAGTTCAAGTCCTCTTTCCCTGTGAGTAATACATTAAATGTGATCCCGGCAGCTTCGATAAAGGTCCATTTTATTACCAAAAATATTATATATCATATTCATGAAATGGTAATATTGTAGATTACATGGTAGATATTGTTCATTACAGGTCCTTCTGTTTGCTTTGTCTTGTAGCACAGATAATGACCAGCTTAAAACCTCTTTTCATGTGTGTCATTCTGATAAAAAAAAAGAACAAGAGAAGAAAAATAGAAAAGAAAATAGAAAACAACATAAAATGACTTGCATTGAGTATGAATAATTTTTGGTGCATTTATGAAAAAGAGTCTAAATGCCAAAATAATAAAACAAAACATCCTCTAACTACCTGCCTACACTATTCAGCATTCTAATAGTCTGTCTACACTTGAAAACAAAGAAATAAAATACATGTTATACGCTATCTCCCTTACTTTCCACAAAACAGGAATAACATAAAAGCAAAAATATGGCACACTCTCAAATAAAATAAAAAAGTTTGATACTCATCCAACCAAGCCTGCAGTAACGCGTGGGCAATCGTTCTCATAATGTAGATCCCCTTCCGAGGATTCCGAAAGCATGTTTTCATAGTCATAGTCACTGTTGAGATGGGTTCCCCTTCGGTTGGGGAACTTCAGTGCCATAGAGTGGATGAAATCCACGAATGGGAGGATTCGGTTCAGAAGCCGCTTGTCTGAAAGAGTATTGAACGGGCCAATGAAAGCAATGAATTGGCAGCGTAAGCTTGCACAGGTGTACTTCATTGCCAATTATCCCAGCATATAAGCACACCTGGGGCGAGCAGACGCCATCCTTTTCGCTTCAGAGACTTTCTGATTGAGTCGATGAGGGTTCCTCCTGCTGTGACCAGCGATTCTGAGCGAACGAGAGCATTCTCCCGGTCCAGAGTGTGTACACGCAGCGGCAGACGGTCGAGCTGGGTTTCTCCCTTGCCTGGCGTTCTTTGGGTCCGGTCCTCCAGAGCGGTGCGTATAAAGTTGCAAACTTCACAGAAAGAGCAACACAGTCGTGCAGCACGTCCTTTTCAGGACGGCGCTCCGACTGTGCGTTTCTGGATGCGGTGGTTTCCTGTCCTCGGATGATGGGCACGGGCACTGCGCTACATGTCTGGGGGTCCAGCATGTTAATGCGCTGCTCGCGGGCAGTTCATGTCGTCATTGCGATGCCATGACTGTTGCGCAAGGTCGCGGCTAGCCTTTGCAAAAGGGCGAACCACCCCAGTTGTCCCCTGCTCTGCAGCGGGCACTCGGGCAGATCTGAGGGTTTCAGCGAGAGATAATCCGTCGCCCACGGGCCCGCGGACCTCCCGCTCCTCTAAGCGCTCCATCCAAGCTACGGGTGGGGGAAGCGATCCGTCTAACAGATGGTAGCCCTTACGCCCGATGAGGGAACTTGCTCTTTCCCCGCTGGAGGGGAAACGGCAACGGCACTTTTTTACTGCCATGAAAATATCATGAAAGAGCACTTTTCCACTTCCCCAGATGTGACAGCCCGAAATCTGCCAGTCTGAGACGCTATGCTTTCTAGCTTGCAGATTCGGTGCGTTTCGCCAGTGGCTCACGAACTCTGAGAGGACGGTCTCCTTTCTCCCACCCCTCGAGCCTCCCCTCCGGAGCTCGGGTGCGGAGTGAGAGCGAATATCTCACCTCCAGCTTTTCCGTGGGACCCGCGCGCTTCCCGGATCAGCACACCCACTCCGCGCTGCCCCACTGCTGGTACGTCAGCGATTGTAGCGATGAGTCCATTAGCGAGAGCTCTGCCTGCCTGGTTAGCACAGGCCAGCTCTTCGCGGTGGCTCATACGCACAATCAGACTCGGCTATGTGATTCAGTTCGCAAAACGGCCCCCCAAGTCTCGGGTGTGTATTCACCAGGGTCAGCCCCCTGTCCGCCCCTGTCTTGCGAGAGGAGATTGCTGTCCTTCTGGCGAAGGATGCAATCGAGCCGCTCCCTCCAGCCGAGATGGAGAGCGGGTTTTACAGCCCACACTTCATCGTGCACAAAAAGAGTGGTGGGTCACGGCCAATCCTAGATCTGCGCGTTTGGAACCGCTGTCTGCACAAGCTGCCATTCAGAATGCTCAAGCAGAAGCGCATCCTCCGGTGTGTTCGTCCTCTGGGTTGGTCTGCAGCATTAGACCTGATGGACGCGTATTTTCATGTCTCCACTCTTCCTCGCCACCGTCAGTTTTTTTCCCTGACCGAGGGCTCTCTCGGCACGGATGCACTGGCCCACAGCTGGCCTCGGGGCATGCGCAAGTATGCGTTTCCCCCAGTGAGCCTACTCGCGCAGTTACTGTGCAAGGTCAGGGAGGACGAGGAACAGGTTCTGCTAGTTGCGCCCCTTGGCCCAACCGGACCTGGATATCAGAGCTCTCACTCCTCGCGACGGCCCTCCCCTGGCGGATCCCTTTGAGAGAGGACCTACTCTCTCAGGGACAGGGCACCATCTGGCACCCTCGCCCCGATCTTTGGAACCTCCACGTGTGGTCCGTAGACGCGAGGAAGACTTAGGTAACCTACCGACTGCGATGGTTAATACCATCACTCTGGCTAGAGCCCCCTCCACGAGGCGCGCCTACGCCCTGAAGTGGAGTCTATTCACTGAATGGTGCGTCTCTCACAGAGAAGACCCCCGAAATTGCCAGATTAGTGTTGTGCTCTCTTTCCTTCAAGAGAAGTTGGACAGCAGGCTGTCGCCCTCCACTCTCAAGGTTTACGTGGCCGCCATCTCCGCTTATCATAGCGCGGTAGCTGGCGGCACCGTGGGAAAGCATAACCTCATCATCCGGTTCCTTAGGGGTGCTAGGCGAATTATCCATCTCGCCCCCCTCTCATGCCCTCTTGGGATCTCGCCCTCGTTCTCACGAGTTGCGATCCGATCCCTTTGAGCCACTCGAATCAGTATCTCTAAGATTTCTGTCCCTGAAGACAGCTCTGCTGGTTGCGTTGGCCTCCATCAAGAGGGTCGGGGACCTGGAGGCATTTTCGGTCAGTGACTCGTGCCTGGAATTCGGGCCGGATTACCCTCACGTCATCCTGAGACCCCGCCCCGGTTATGTGCCCAAGGTTCCTACCACCCCCTTTAGAGATCAGGTAGTGAACCTGCAAGCGCTGCCCCCGAAGGAGGCAGACCCAGCCCTTTCTTTACTTGTCCAGTTCGCGCTCTGCGCATTTATGTGGACCGTACTCAGAATTTTAGATCATCTGAGCAGCTCTTTGTCTGTTATGGCAGTCGGCAGCAGGGAAGTGCCGTATCGAAACAAAGATTATCCCACTGGATTGTGGATGCCATTCACTTGCTTATTCGAGTCGAGGTCAGCCGTGTCCCCCGGGAGTGCGTGCACACTCCACTCGGAACGTTGCATCCTCTTGGGCGCGTGCACGCGGCGCCTCTCTAACAGACATCTGTAGAGCTGCGGGCTGGGCGACACCCAACACATTTGCAAGGTTTGCAAGGTTTTACAAACGTTGTAGGTCTGCCCACTGGTCAGCCCGCGTTTTGGGTATAGGTGCCTGCTATGTGTGATCCCCACTAGGCGATTCCACATGCTTATTCCGCCACTGTTAAGTCCCCCCCCTGGGTGGACCCGTGTCTTCCCTCTCCGCTAACCACTCTTTGCTATGCGTACTCCCCCTTTTTAGGGCTAGTCCATATGTAATTTCTGCCATCTATCCCCCCCTTGGGTAACGGATGGCCTCCGCAGCGTCCTCCCTATCGGGACTGCACGCTTCCCAACGTACTGTCGTATTTTCCTAGAATTATCTAGATGCTCACGACTTCCCAAAAATATATCTAAATCCGTAAAACTTCTGTTAAAGTAGGATAAATTAGGGCCAGGGACACGTTGGAGGACCGCGCCTCCCATGATGTGGGTGCGTCACGCTTGCTTGACAATCCCCTCATCGAGGGCGTTGGTAAGGTGCAGTCATTATGGCACTTTCCATACTTCTCCCATTCGTGGATTTCATCCACTCTATAGCACTGAAGTTCCCCAACCGAAGGGGAACGTTCAAGGTTACAGAAGTAACCCTTCGTTCCCCGAGGAGGGGAACGGAAGTGCCATACTCCGTCGCCATAATGACTGTCCCTTAGCTGTTTGAAAGTCTCTTCAGCTTAAAAGGATGGCGTCTGCTCGCCCCAGGTGTGCTTATATGCTGGGATAATTGGCAATGAAGTACACCTGTGCAAGCTTACGCTGCCAATTCATTGCTTTCATTGGCCCGTTCAATACTCTTTCAGACAAGCGGCTTCTGAACCGAATCCTCCCATTCGTGGATTTCATCCACTCTATGGCACTTCCGTTCCCCTCCTCGGGGAACGAAGGGTTACTTTTGTAACCTCAAACCTTTGCGCAGTTCCTTGTAACAGTCTGGCAGCACTGGCTACCGTCAATCTGATAAATGACACAACACAGCAAAAAAGTAAAGCAAAAAACAATTATGGCAACATCCAAATATGTCATTCTTTATCAACCATTGTCCCCGAGATCCAAATATGGAGTCAAACCAATCACTCAAGTTTTTGTCTCGTCCAGCTTTTTCCTTGATTACGATACACCTGTGGCAGTTTATTTGGAATATAGACGCAGCAGTAGTCTCTTTTAGCTTATCAGTCAGCTTTCTCCTTTCCAGTAAGGCTCAGAAGTCGATTGTTGATAGGTCTTGTTCAATTCCATTGTCCGGTTTTTCTTCACCTGGGGAAAGATTATTTCTTGACTCATGTTCACATGTGATTTCATGTGATTATGATCATTGACAGCAGCATAATTTCCTTCCAGAGTAGTGTCCTCCTGTTGTTCCCCATAGGCCGGCAGGTTTGCATCCACCAGCAGGTCTGCTGTTTCTCCTTCAACCAGTTCATGTTGCCCTTGACAAAATTCAAGAGAGTCATTAATTGTTGTTTTATGCTGCTGATGTGCTCCCTGTGCTAGATCGCCACAGTTTTGTTGACTGTTTCTTGGCTTCGGAACTCTGGTACAATGGTTTAAATGGTATCAGTTGTTGTTGTTTTGAACTTGTAATGCAGTTGGTGTTGCTCCAGGTTGGAGGACATAGCAAAGCATTCACTCGATTTCTTTAGTGTCACACAAAATGTGTTCAGTATATTCAGTTTTGCCTTTAAAGTTTTCTGAACCCATTATAGTATTGGCTGTGGTAAGCACATCTTAAACCCCTTTTATCTGCAATTGTTGGATTACTGTATTAACTGTCTGTTGAATAAATGCTGATCCAATATCTGAACTTATATCAAACGGGATTCCAAATATAGGAGTAACTTCTCTTGTTAGGAATTTTAATTACAGTCTCAGCAATCTGCTCTGCTAAATGCACAGCCTCTACCCTCATCTATTAAATCTGTCTATGATCACAACATGTAGCTTTTGCTTCTTACTGATTTAATCATAACAACAAAGTTCAATACTAAATGCTTAAATGGTCCTTCTCGCTCTAGTAGACGAACTAGTCCTTATGGAGTTGCTGTGCCTTTTCTGACATTGTTCTGTGAACAAATTTCACATTATGATAGATAAGGTGACCAAAACACTTTTGTTTTATCTTTTTAAGGACCTTATTCTTTCACAATGACCAAAACCATGTGCATCTGATGTTAAAATAGTCAAAAGAGGATTGATTAAACTTTTATCCCATCTCCATATTCTTTTTTTAAATATCTTTGAT